ATTAATGTTTTAAAGAGTTCGGTCTAGACCTGCTCTATTTGAAAAGTGTCCTGAGATAACTTCTGTTATGAATTGGCGCTATACAAATAAAATTGAATTGAATTGAATGAGGTGTGGTACTTTCACATTAGTGGAATGGGGTTCATCTCCCTACAGTGTCCTTGCTAAAAGCCAAATTATATGAAAACACAATAGTTATCAATCTACACATTTCACAACAAACCTAAATGTCCCTGACATCCCACCTTCAAACACAACCTCATTTGGCCATCCATGAAAAAGCTACTTAACCTCCCACTTTTCTATAGCAATACATACTTCCTACGGGCACTGCACTAGTCACAAGAAAACAAGTATTGTCATCTTGAGATACCGAAATAACTTGTGATCTCGAGATAAAGCCATTTTAAAAATCTGTGAATCCATGACTGTTGCTAAAAGAAGTTAACTGTCGCCAACAGTAATGTTAGATGCCATTATTTTGTGCCCTAAAATATTGATTACAGTCATTGCATGCACACAACCCTATCAAATCTGTACATGTCGATTGAATCCAAGATTTGTTTACTGCTGCAGATGAACTTCTGTATATCGCCTCTCCCAACAACTGCTGACATAAGGTGCTACATTTTCAAATGATTCCAATACACAAGCTCCTCAATGGAACTGAATGAGTTGTATTTTTATGGGTCTTCCCAATAGCTATTTCTCACTAGAGAGAAAACTAAAAAGACTGTACTGTAAGCAACAAAGTATGGATGAAAAGTGGGTTAATGCTTCTGGGTAAATCCAAAATACACAAAACATAATTCCCTTCAAGTACATCAAGTATAGTGCACACAGCCGGCTACACTCTTCTCTGCTCTTCTATATTTTGCTCTGAGCCTCAGAAACCAACAAGTAAACCTTTCTGAAACAATAATCCACTCTCTCTCCGTTGGTCTAATTTGATTTTCAGAAACCCTTTTAGTTGGTTCACTTTGTCAGCACACCATTAACTAAAATAATGGAGCTCTTTAATTTTGGCCCTGATCATTTCAGCACTCATCACAAACAGACAACTCTGAATATAATCAAATCCCCACAAAGCCAGTTGAAACACTGGCAAACCTGAGGTTGTCAGAGCCCTCAGGGTCCTGGTCCTCAGAGGCAGTTGACTATTTCATACAGTCAGCAGCTTAGCCTTGGATATGTGTTAAAAATAATTGATAATAAGCTGACTGTTTAACCTTGCTAGGCAGCTGGACTCTGGAAATCACTTGAGAATCAATCTTGCCAGGCTTCAGGCTCTGTGTCTAAACCACAGTGGTGCGCACCAATCAGCAGGCTACGGCACTGAAGGTTTTTCTCAATTTTCTTGACAACATCCTATGGTTTGTTGAGCTGAGTGATTAGAGTAGATGTTGCTAGCATCAGTTATATCAGAGCAGGAGAGTATTTCTTCTTTTAAAGATGAGCAAAGAACGGCATTGAAGACTTTTATCTCTTCTCCCGACTGGCTTGACTACGTTATATGGCTTGATCTGATTGGTTGAAGTTCAGCTGTGATAGATGGTGAAAGATGACAGATGGTTCATCCAATTACATGGCAAGGGTTTTTTGAAAGTGCCTGCCAAATAAGTCTGTTAACAAGAAGGGATAAAATCAATGCACTGATACAGTTTGTTGCAGGACAACTTAGAGAAATTGAACAATTTATTTTGTTTGATGTGACAAAGGTTTGTGACACAGTTAATACCCTACCTCAGAAATAAATGCTTCACTCATAATTTTACTCATTTTGTGAAAAAAAATTCTATTGTGACCCCAGTATCATGAATTGTATTAAATTATGAGTTGAGTGTATCCTTACAAGCCATGTTTCTACAACAGCCCAGAATGGACAAACCAAACACTGGCTCGAGAGAGGGCTTTTTGCGTTTTGTGAACATCGTAGTTTCTTCTTTTTCCACGTTTGGTTGAGTCAAGGGGTTTAATTTGGTTGCGATCTGCAATCTCAGCACTAGGTGCCAGTAAATCCTTCACACTGGTCCTTTAAAGTGCTGTATATACTGTACTTTACCTCCATTATTGGCAGGGCCTCTCCCACTCAATACATATCAACAGAGGTGAGCAGCTGATCAGTGACATTGAAGCACTGACACTGAAGAGCGTCTCCACCTTATCTACTCGCAATCACAGGAGCCTGAAGATTTCATATCAGCAGATGATTAGGATGTCTGACCTGCTTGATCTGTCCTCCTGCCTGCCTGCACTGAAGATCATAATATAATTCTAAGAAATGACACACTGGTGCTGCTCAGAACGAACAGCTGCTGCAGAACTCTGGTGTTTACTCTAGATGAGGTTGAATTTCTACTGCATCCCCAAAAGCAACTCTCTGGTATTAAATGCCCGGTTGGGCTCTAAAAGGCAATTTTACAGTCACATCATCATGAGATTGAAATTTTTTATTAATATGTGCATTTTCTAGGGCTTTGCAAAGCCACAGTGGTGAACTACCAGACAAATATCTGATAACTATTTGAATTAGTTCAATTAATTGATTTAGGCCTACAAACCTACTAACAATTATTTTTATTTGTAATTAATCTGCCAGTTCCAATCTTGATTAAACATACTACTAACAGTTTATATTTAATTCTAATGCCTCTATATGACTTAGACAAACAAGAGCATTAGAGATAAGATTGGTTATTTTAATGGATGTTACTAACTTCACTTCTTCCCCGGAGTTTTTGTGCTTTCTCGTCTCGCAGGTTCTCATGGATCCTGGTGGAGCCTCCTGCCATGGTCCTGCTAATATTACTGATATTATTATTATTATTATTATTAATATTATTATTGCTATTATTATTAATATTATTATTGCTACAGTTACTATTATTAGTATTATCACTGCTCATTGTCCCCCATCAATGTAGCTGTTGTCGTTGTTGTCATCATCTTCTTCATGTTCATCATCATCATCATCACCACCACCATCAGTCACTACTATTAGTGTAGTTGTTGCTACTGTTGTGTTGTGCACCTTTGTCCTTCTGTCGTTACCTCTTTTCTCTCTCTCTGTCTCTCTCTGAAATTGAATTATTTCTATATAGTCATTCTTAATGCCTGCCACCGGGTCGGATTCCCCTTGAAATCAGTGAAAGGAGGTTGTGGAAGCATCGCTTCCATCAGTGAAAAGAAGCACTACTGCTTTTACCCATGTGGACAAAAGCAGTAGTGCTTCCTTAAATTATTAATTATTTGAATGAAATGCCAATGAAATAGGTTTGACAATTTTTGGTCAGTTGGTCAATATGCTCTCATTCGATCAAATTCTTATTGATTTGACAATCGCTGACAAACGTGATTTTTTTTAGATATATGATACATATATTATATATATGATATATATATATACAGATATATTTTACTCAAAAAATGTGGTTGAGATTTAATAAGCATATTAGACTATAAGACTGTAAGACCTATTGGAGACTGCTAGGCCTTACTGAAGTAAAACTGACGCCATGTCAAAGAGCCAGAAAAATCGGGCCCCAGCCTCAGAGGACAGAAGAGCTGAGTGGATTAAGTTTATTTTTATGTGTGTGTGCGTTTGACTATGTTTTTTTAACAAGGTTTAACTGTTCGAGCTCAATGATGGATTGATACCAGCTGTCCATGACCCAACTTCAAACTTGGAAGCTGTACGTGTTTTACATGTTTTATGTTCATTTTGTAAGTTAGACAATGCTGAACCTGCCGTTAACATGTTGCGTGGCAAAGTGGCTACTGCCTCAGGCTGGGGCGATGTTGGACTAATGTTGATAATACTGAGGGACAGTCGAGGTAAACTGCATGAACTGTAAGCCTAATTTAAAGCTAGATAATAAGAGTAGAAGTTTAAACCCTGCTAATTGTTTTTTCATGTTGTTCTTTGTGGAATTTTTACTGAAGCTCTTCATAGTGCATTCATGACCACTGTACGGGGAATTACTTTTTATATAACACACCCGTTATAATTAAAGGTGTGGCTGCTTTGAATGACAGGTGGCTGCTGTCACAGGTGACTTTTTTCAGTAACCAGGCTTCATTCAGCCTGCCTCAACTCGACCAACGCTCCACCTCTTTGCCTATTTTTGGATTAGCTGGGAGCCAGCAGAGTCAGGACTGCCACGATGTCAGCGGCCAAACTACGATGGCCGACAAGGGCAAATGCGCTGCAAACTGCAAAACGCTGCAAACACGGGAATGATGCAAATCCAAAAACACACAAACACATAAAACAAATCCAACGGAAAAACGCAGCCAACAGACAAATGCTGCAATCACAGAAAGCAGAAGCAAAAACTTACAAACCTACAAAACGAAAGAAGTTCGGAAAGAGTTCGGTCTAGACCTGCTCTATTTGAAAAGTGTCCTGAGATAACTTCTGTTATGAATTGGCGCTATACAAATAAAATTGAATTGAATTGAATTGAAAAACAACTCCAAGAGAGAAACGCTACAAATTCACTCGACAAAACGGAAGTGCGCCAGGCCACTAGGGGGACCCGACCTGAGGGATGGACCAGTCCTGTGGGACCAGACCCAAAAGACATGAGAAGAAGAAGAAGTCGAGTGAATTTGCAGCGTTTCAAGTACATTTCCATGCTTGAAACCTACATTCTTGTATAGATTCTAAAGAAAAAGAAAAAAGAAGATAACTTTATTCACTCAGTCATTGTTATTTGCTGTTCTTCCAAGAACACTGCGGTCTTATGTGGCTCAGGTGTGATTAATGAGTGGAAACATTGCAACTGACTAATAGTAGCATTTAGACAACGGATGCAAAGATACGTTAGATTGTTATGAGTTGTCACTGACAAAACTGACAGCATTCTGTTCACATACTATCAGCATCGCATCAAATTAGAGAAAAGAAGCAAAAATCAGCTGAACCTGTCTGTTTGCACTGACATTCACTCAATCTGATGGTTAACTTTCATTCTTTCAGGTGTGTACTGGCAACTTACCGTCTATCTGTGGCTGCAGTAATGCTGCTGTCCTCCCCTCCTAATCACTGTGATGATGAAAATGGACAGTATCTGGTCTCCTCCTCTGGAGAAACGGTCTTGTGTTTTTTGTCTCCCCCTTCCCATCAGCAACTGTGCATCTGTCGGCATCCACTGATCTGTGAGCTGCTTAATGCCGCGACACTCTCCTCTGCCTCTCCACACACTCTCAGCCCCTGCTCTCCCTCTCTTTCCCTCCGTGCTGTTAGGCACTTGTTTTTGTAGCATGCTGACATGTTCTCTCTCTCTCCCTCACACAAGCGCACTGCTGTTGCTCTTTCATCTCCTATCTCTCCCCTGTTTTCAAGTCTCATCTCTACCTCTGCCTGGTACATTCTGCTACCTCTGAGGGAGACACAGCCCACTAATTTCCCTGAAAAACACATCTTAAGAGGGAGATGATGAAAGTTTGATGGGCTGAAAATGGGTTGTTGCATTGAGTTAGAGGGAAAAAGAAAGATGGAAGATAAATAAGAATTTCAGACAGGCAGCAAAAGAAGATTTGGATACTAGAATTGGTGTAGTAGATTTGTATGTATGGAAAGGTGGAGAAAATTCACTGACAGCGATTACTGAGCTACTAGAAGAAAACAAAGAAATGAGAAAATCAAAGAGCCAATTTGCACAATTTAACCTGAATCTTGTCATTCTGATATAAAAATGTTCCTGAGCAAGGTACGTTTTATCAGTCTGTTTTCTGGGAATAATTGACACAAGCAGATTATATATAAGAAAATATGGAATCTGGAATCTGGAATCTGGAAGTATACATATGGGACTTTTATTCTTCAATTTCTCCAAATTGGTACAGTAAAAATGCTTGATATTAAGTATACTTGTAGTCTTAGATGTGTAGAAGTCAAATATACCATCCATAGCCAGGAATTATTGAGCAAAGTGTTTTTACAGTAGCTCAAATATATGAAAATATGCCACTTGGAGGTACAAATATGGACTTTTATTGTTGAATTTCTCCAAATTGGTACAGTAAAAATGCTTGATATTAAGTATGTTTGTAGTCTCATATGTGTAAAAGTCAAATATACCATCGGTAGCCAGGAAACACTGAGCAATATGTTTTTACAGTACCTAAAATATGGTCAAATATGCAATCTCTGGAGGCATAAATATGAGACTTTTATTTTGGCATTTCTCCACACTGGTGCAGTAAAGATACTTGATATAAAGTGTTTTTTTATTCATCAGGGGCGCAACACTTTAATGTAACATATTTTAATTATAGCTTACTGTTCTAAATACCTTTATTTTGAAAACCGGAAGTAAATACGCTGTTTCTCCGCATTTACCATAATGCTGAGAATACTTGTACACTCTAAATTTAAGTGCGGCTGATTTGACCACGGAGATCGGACTCACGGCTGGATTGACCGCAGTCTACTAGCCTACTGTTTCTTCTACACAGCACCGTCCTGTAAATGACAACATCCAGTCTCAGAATATAAAAAAAACAGGCTTTTTTTCCGTTTCTGTTTTCTAGTGATTTTATTTTTTGTTATATGAAATAGAAAATGAAAACCGAATAATTTTTTTAAATTTCGCTCATCCCTTTCTGACCATGAAAAAGAAAATCGCCTTGTATTTCAATTTCAATTTTTGTTGTAGAATGTAGAATAACGATTATAATATAACTATATAGTATATATAGATGTTAATACAATTTCAATTTAATTACACCTCTGGGTTTAGGTCAGGATCAGGTCTGGTGCCAAAATGTAGTTCTTTGGGAAAACATGTTTCTTTTCGTATCTTAAATGTAAATACCAGCCTACATAATAATAATACATACTATTCGATATACATTTTTGTCTCATCTTGTGAATAAAATAATGGTAATGCATTTACATTTTCATGAGCCCTCACAACTTCACATAGGCCTACAACTTCTTACATATATATTTACACTTATATATATACACCATAGCATTTTCCTGAGAGTGACAAACCGTATATACATAGACACATGTTATTTTGTACACTCAATTATATTAGCTAAGTCAAATAAACCAAAGACAAAAGACAGAAGACTTTGCATCATTGATTTTTATTTTTACCCCAGGCTTTAACATGTTTGATCTGTAAAGAGAAAAAAGATAGATGTTATAGCCTAGTCAAGTACATTCCTTAAGCTTCCATGAATGTTTTACAATGGCAAGTATCAAGGTATTTCGCTCTCTTGGTGGTATGATCAAACATGTTACCCTTCATGGTACTCGGGCCCTAATAACGGTTGGTGAAGGCAGATAACAGTGAAATAAGAAACGCCCACAACAGGCAACATACCCTGTTCCCAGTTCTGTCTAGTTCTCTGCTTCCTCTAGAAAGGAAACAGATTGTGGTTCTTATAGGCACAATAACAATGCAAGATGTAAAAAAGATCAGTAGCAGATTTTAAGTATACTCGTTTAATGAAAATGGAGAAATGACTGCAAAACCACCTCTACAACATTGATGGATGTGTGTACAATAATACTGCTTTGAATAATACCTGATATTTCAGAAATAGATTCTGGAGAGCAGAATTTTTTTGGAGGGATCACTTCCAAATCCTGAAATAAGTGGAGGGATTATGCTTTAGTCTGCAAGCAATAGTTGACCACAAGACTAATTAATCACATGACCTCTCACCTGTTGCCCTCTTTGCTGTCGTCGCCTTTTTCTGTCCTGCAATCGGTCTTCTTCAGACCTTGGTGATTTAATGACAACATACATTCACTATGAAAACATTCATGTTGGTGTGTTGACAGTGAGTAAAACTGTTTTTTTTTGTGATGTGATTCTAAAGTGTGATATTGAGGGCACTTACGGCATGGGGAAGTTCTGCAGGAGAACAAGACACCACCATCTTCGAATTTGCAGCATGTTTTCCTTTGAAGAAGCAAATGCAGAAAGATTTAAATATGTTTCATAAAATAACACCTTGTATAATAAGCATAATGTGTCACAATTTACACATACCTCTCTGAAATCGCAATTGGCCCCCATTACAATGTACAGAGCGTACTGTAAGTCAAGAGGTACTGGTTAATATAATGTCATGCATATTCCCCCAGGATAAATTTTTTTTCAATAGAAATGAATGTGTTTTGAATGTACCAAGCAAACATTTTACAGATAACAGCAATGCTATAACATACTGAATAGGTCTTACCATCAAAACAAACACGCCACAGTTGTTGGAGCACCCTTGCTTTGATAGGCCCTGAGGTGTGAACAAGGTATTTTAATAAAAGAATGGCAGGAAAATAGTAAAATGTTAGCAGATGCTATTAAGTAATGTCTCACCCGGACATCATTCACACCAAGCTTCTTCCAGGGGCCAGGAGATAGGCTGTGAGCAATGTGTCTGTACAAATAGTAAGCAGAAGTAAATACAAGTAACTCAACTTCAATCAACTTTGGATTGAAAAGCATGCATAAAAGCTTGAACTGAATAAGGAAGAGGTTGGAACTTCAGATTCCTCTTCCGGTTGCTATTGGGCAAGTGTGCGGAGTCAAACGTTTAGCTCCGCCCACACGTTGAGCCACTCCTCGATCTGCGTACTGCAGTCAGGGCTTACTCAAGCTCAGAGCCGGACAATGACAACCGTTGTGATACCAGTTAACTCTGACCGGGGCTTTAGGTTTTGTTGAGCCGGATTATGAACACAGAGCCTGGGTATGTTGAGCCTCCGTCGTAGTAAAGCCCTCAGGTCTACTCTTCATGTAATAACTGCGCCACCTTATGGCTAAACATCAACTGCACTGAAGTCATCATAACTTCATAAGTTCTCATTTTCAAATGATTATGAATACTATTATTGTTATTTGAAGGCGTGTCAGTCTTGACTGTGGGCGATGGGGTCCTCTGTGTCTGCTAGTGTCTATAATACAGTAATATTTTTGTCGACATTATAAAACAGAAGAACTTTTATTTTGAAGAGCACAGGGCAACGAAGCACACTAGCCAATCAGAGGACCCGCCCACCGACGGAAACAAAATATTGAGTGGTAAATTCGTTTTGTTAAGTAAGAACCAAAAAACGAGAAAACGAGCTCAGCTTTTGATTTTCGTTTTTTTGACAAAACGAAATAATGAAAAAACGGCTTGTTTCTGGTTTCTGCTTGTGTCAATTATTCCCAGAAAACAGACTGATAAAACGTACCTTGCTCTAATATCTTTAATATTTTTAACTAATATTTTAATTAAATTTTATCTTTATGAACTTTATGAAATTCTGAAAAGTCAATTAATTAAACTAAACAAATCAATATAGTCAGCATTATGAGTACTAGTCGTATTTTTGCAGTCATACTATTGTAATTTTACAAGAAATTCTGAAATATTCTGAGAATAAGGTAGTCATTTCTTTCAAAATAGAAAACATGCTATGAGAATAAAGTTGCAATTTGATGTTTTTCAGATAAATGATATATAATTCTAGAAGCAAAGTGTGAGTATTACATGATAAAATAAAATAATTTCCTACAAATAAATTGTATCGTTTAACATCAGATGGGTATAACGTCATAACTTTAAGAAAACTATATTACAAGATGAAGTCTAACTTTTTCTTGTAAAGTTGTAATATTTCAAAAATTTTGTTTTGTGGTATGATATATTAGTTTTTAGCTTAGACATTTTAAACTTAAGCTCTAGCTAAAACTCATTTTATTTTAATAATAATAATAATAGTAATAATAATAATAATAATACATTTTATTTGTAAAGCACTTTTCATAAAAGAATCTCAAAAAATAAAATAACAAAAACACTAAGGGCAATAACACATTAAAATCAGCAACAAATAAAAATACAAGTGATAAAATACATGAAGAAAAACAGCTAAAAGAGGAGTTGAATTGCAGAGTGAAATTAGAGAAAATCTAAAATAAAAAAGTTTTAAGCCCTTTTTTCAAAGTGTCCACAGAGGTTTTTGTAGATGTGAGGGGAGGGAGTTCCAGATGTGAGGGGCAGCAGAGCAGAAGGCTCGGTCTCCCATGGTGCGGAGTCTTGAGCGGGGCTGATGGAGGAGGTTTGTGCTTTGGGACCAGAGGTGACAGGTGGATGAGTGAGGGGTAAGGAGGTCTTTGAGGTTGCTGTAGAACGCCCCGCAATACCTTTTAAATTGTCTTGTCTACTAAGTATTGACGTTTTATTGCAACAACAAAATAATTCTGTGTTTTTGATGACAGCTGTCTTTATGAACCTGTGATAATATTGAAAGGCCAATAAACTAAATGATCAATAAAGTCTGTGTTATGA